TATATATATATATATATCAGAATCTTTCAGCTTATTAACAAAAAAAATATACACATATATATAAATAGTTCAAAGAGAAATATATAATGAGTTTCTACTCTAATGCTAGAACATGGAAGAAGACAAGTTTTTTTTTTTTCTCGATGGATGCCAAAATGGCTTTTGCTCCACGTTACATCAAAAGATTAACTATCAGTTGGAATGATAAATTGAAAGCTTATCGTTTCTTATTTTTTTAATTATTATTTTTGATTGAATTTATAAAGTTCTTCATAATTGTTTGGTCATTCTTTTTTATTTTAGTTCCATCAAATGCCTAAATGTTAAGGTTGTTTGTTAATGAAGGCAAACATTTATTTTGCAAAGTAAATTACGATTTAGTTTAAATATTTTTATTTATCATCATTTTTCTTCTTATACTTATATGCATTTTGAATATATGGGTAATATAATTTAGCATAGCTGAAATGCACCATTATTCCTAACAATTAATGGAAGAATAATAAGAGAAAAATGTTATTAATGTCGAATTATTTTTTCTCTGCTTATAGTAGAATTTATTACATGAATGAATAGAAAGACAGGATTGAATAAAAATAAGAGAGAAATACTTTTTTGGATATTACGGAACTACATGTAAAATTGAAGATTTGGAGTTGGTTAGAATGTATTTTTAATTAAATTTGCTTAGAATATATTTTCAAATATTTCAAAAAAATGAAATATTTCGAAAAACTAACATCAATTCATGCGATCCAATCGTAATTCAATAATTTCAATTTGGATAAAAACTCAACTTTAGAATAATAAATCACTAAAAATTATTATTCACTCATGACATACAGAAGTAAATAAAAAAATATGACAAAGACGAAAATGTATCGTAGAAAGTCACCTATTCACATCAACTAAATCCACTTACACCGTTACCGTTAAGTGATGCTAGAGGGCTCTGTACTCTTTATTTTATTGTAACCGTGATATATTTTTATTTCGTATACTTGGCAACTTCTATGCGTAATTACGTTGTATATATATTGCGAAAGAATTGAAATCTTCGTGAAAGAATCTTTGTGTAAGAATAAATAATCGGTCACTTAAGAGAACTGATAGGGTAAACTAACCAGTGAAGGAACACTTAAGCTTCGCTTGCCTTTTAAAAAATCATATTAGTTTCAAAATTCGTTATTTTAGTTAAATGACAGTGACAACATATTTGTTACCAATTGCAAATTATGTAAATAAATTGTAGAGAACTTACATAATATTGTTTTAAAGTTTTGGAGGTTCAAATAACAAGTAGTAAGAAGATAAAGTGAAGGAACAGCTCTTACCAGTGAATGAACACCCAGTAAAGGAACACTTAATTTTGGTTATTTTTTAATGCTCTTTATGAATTTATAAGCCATACAAATATTTAAAAACAAGCCTGTTGTTGAAATTATAACATATAAATACTTGGAAAATGTTAACTTTTTTTTGTAATCATGAATTGAAAATTAANAAAAAATTATACAATGAAAAATTATGGTGATTGTAAGGAAAAGAATCTAATCTTTTAATCGATTAATTATTCCACAGGACCTCCAAAGAAGAAACCAACCAATAAACCAAAGTTTCTGACTACTCCTGCTGAAGATTTTAGCGAGAATTTATCTCCTGGTAATTATTTTCTTTCATTTAATTACTGATACCAATCAGTTATTTATTTCTTTTACTTGTTCAACTACATTACTCATGGAACTACTTTTACCATTAAAAAAATAACTCTATTTCTTCAATATCTAACGTTACTCAATTTAGAATTAATTTAGTAAATAAAAATATTTAATAAAGTTTATTTTCTACCACTTTTCTTTATTTAGGAAAATATCTACATGGTTTCAGATACTCATTTATTCATATATAGCTACAATGTATTTGTATAATTTTTAATTTATAAATAAATGTTAGAGGAAATAATTTAAATTTTCCCTGGTATACATTTTGTGCCTTAAGTCAATCTATTTGCATGCAAAGTCAATTTATTTGCCTGCAAAGTGACTTCAAAACATCGATTATTCAAATTACGGTATAAAATTTCCATTCGGTAGAAGTAGCCTTTGAAGTAGCTAATATTATTCAGGTATTAGCTGCTTCAAAAAAGTATTCAGGTTGCCCACTCTGGAGTTCCAGGCAACGAGAAAGCCGACTTCCTGGCTATAAAGGGTGATTTAATTATGCAAATAATTTCCCGTCCTACTCCCTTTACTATCAAAATTCTTTTTGAAATATCTATTAAAGCTCGTGTTCAGGAAGACCTCTATAGCCGTGTTTCCCAAAAGTCCTCGAAAAATGCCATCCCAGATTTATGCAATGGCCCAAGGCGTAGAGCAGTCGCTGAATTCCACCTAGCTACCGGACATGACTGCTTGCGAAACCATCTTTATAGACTCAAAACTGTTCCTTCTACGATATGCACTCTGTAAAGCTCTGGAGAGGTCATGGACTCCGCACATCTACTTCACTGTCCTGTTCTAGGCTGAACTTTTCTCCCCCAGCGTTATTGGGAGGCTAGAGATATGTTAGATTAATGAACTCTGTTTCAGCATTTTTTNTTTTTTTTTTTTTTTTTTTTTTTTTTTTTTTTTTTTTTGCACTCTGTGTTTCTTCTTTTTACTTATTTTCTGCTGTAACTGTTCATAATCTGCCATTTGAAGTGGAAAAAAATATATATATTATTCAGGTCAGATTGAATCATCGGTCAGCCGAGATGGTTGTTCAGATCCAGAAATCCTCGTCAATGGAAGTATCATTTCCAACGGCAATACAGATTTCTCTACAGTCTCAGAGATCCATTTCTTCGGACTAGTCGGACGACGTGGTCAAAAGAGAGAATGCAAGTTGAAATGCTTGAACGGAGTCTGGGTTGGACCCATATGTACAGAAGGTAATGTGGGTTATTAAGTTCTTCCTAATCAAAGTCTAAATATTAGGTTTCATTTGATAACACTATGGAGCAAATTTTTTGCTGCTTTTATACAAATACTTTATCTTATCTAATTCGGTTGTGGGGATTTTAAATCTGAAATCGGTTTTGTTAATAAAGTTACTGGATTTTTCAATGACATTAAGTCCAGTTTTGGATGAAATGTATAAGTTTAAAAATGTTATATATAACAAGGTGTCGAGTAAATATTGCGTCAAACTTCTAGGGAGTTAGGGCTTATTATGAGGATTAAAATTTCATAGGAACCCAGGAAATGCTGTTGTACGCGATTTGAGGCTTTTCCCCTATTATGACCTATTCGGAAAAAACGAAGAAACAGTTCATAATAAGAAAGCGCCTTTAGCGGCGAATGACACTATTTCCGTACATGGGTTCCTATGCAATTTTAATTCTTATAATGTGCACTTTTAGAAGATTGTCGCGGCATTTATGCGACCTAGAGCCCCTGAATCATAGTATAGGAGCCTGAATGCGACCCGCTGTTACATATTACGTTTTAAAACTTGTACAGTTCCTTAACAAATAGATTAAAAATGTAATTTAAGAAAAATCAGTAGCTTTAAGAACAAAACTAATTTCAAATCAGCGATACGAAAGTATCTATGATCTGTAAAAAAAATATTATGCAACAAAAAACAAAAACAAAAAATAATTGTTCTCTGACATAATTTATGGAAAAATATTAAAGTCATTTTATGATTAACATTTAGTATTGAGATATTTTCTTAAAACAAATAAATTTTTCACTTATTTCTCCACACGAAGTTATGACTTTTCGAAGGAAAACATTTTATAAGCCAAAATTCGCTTCATATCGGGCAAAAATTACCGTGTGAATCTTTTATTCAAAAATATTTTTTTAAACTTGTTGACTGCGTCGGCATAGTGGTTTGGACACTGTGCATATTCGGAGCTCTATATCCAGTGGCAGCTTGAGGAATACCAAGCTTCAGATCGATGGCTATCACTTCTCTAGGTAATAAAGGCGGTCGTTGCTCAATGATGACCACATTGCCTATATCATACCGTTGGTCTCAAAATTGCGGAGCCTTAACCTTCATGACAACAGGCTGTTTAGAGAATGCTTTTAACACGATATTTAGTGATCAAGGTTAACTATCTAATTCTCATGTTTAGAGACTGCTTTTTCGTAAAAATAAGTCGTTAAACGAGTTAAAATTTTATGTTTATTCTTTGTTGCAAAATTAAGAATACAATAAAACGGAACTCTTAAGCAGCTGCCATTTTCTTTAAAAAAAAAGTTAAAGCCTTTATTATTGCTTATTTTAGCAAGTAAAAGGATTGTATCAGTTTTATTAATGAGTTTTCTGCTATGTAATTAGGCTAAAAAATAGTTAACGGGTGAACAAAAAAAAGTTATTCTTGAAACACTGAAAAATTTTCCAGTAAAGAAAACAACTTAAAATTTTTAAACTGTTATTGTGCTCTTTCAAGGGGGGGGGGAACGATTGCACTATTTTAAGATACTTGAAAAGTTTGAATTAACTCGAATTTTAAATTTTGCTAGGTAACTTGAAAATTTTTTAAACATTTTAAACTCAACTTTCTACAATTAAAAACTTATTAAAGATTAACACTTTATTCATAAGCAATAAAACTAAGCTGCTATTGTTAAATTCCGAAGCTCTATCTTCGGCAGTGGCTTAAAAGCCCACCCAGCTTATGACCCATGGGTACCAGCTTGTCTGGAGCGTTCGGTGTGCATAATGACCACATTGATACTTCTATGTCGTTGGTTTCAAAATCAGGGACGCTTAATTTCCATGGTACCCATGGCCAAGAATTGTATCTTTAAAGCTGGGGAAAAACTATTGTAGCAAAGAATTTTTTTTTCGCACGAGCAACAGGCTACTGAAGCAAGCAAGTAACAATATTATTTCTGTATATTCTGTGTTCTTTATTATTCTGAACCTAACTTTAAATTGTAAGTGAAAGGCCCAGAAGCAGTATTTGCATAGTCAATCAGCAGCACAATTTTCATAAATTCAAATTTGTATGCGACTCTAACACAGTCAGACAGAAGCTAATAAAGTAAGAATTAGGCATCATCTAACAAAGCGTACAACAAAATTAGCACATATAAGGTAAACAAAAATTATACACTAAAGAATTGTCTCATATAGTCAATAAACAAGCAATTAGAGTTTATGGAAAATAAGAATTTTTTTTTACATTTTTCTTGTCTTCTAAATTCTTCATTTTTCAAAATTTCTGTTAATTAAAGAATATCATTTGGAATTTTCGAAGTATACTTTTTTTTTGCTCTGCCGATTGACCTGAAACATAAAAAATTTAGGAATGATTTGACTGTTTCTTTTCTCACTAACAGTTTAGCCTTTTTTTGCAGTTCGTGATGAAAAATGATCTGCAGATGCTTTTGATAATCTGCATGCATTTTTTGACAATCTGTTGATCTGCAGGAGTTTAGGAATGATATCACTGTTTCTTTTCTCAGTAATAGTTTAGCCGTTTTTTTTTAGTTTAAAGTGAAAAATTATCTGCAAATGCTTCTGATAATCTGCATATCACTTTACGATAATCTGCAGATCTACAAGTGCTGGAAGATTTCTGCTACGCAATAGATTTTTCAAATTTTTCATTTATCACAATTTCTGCTTATTAAAACACATCATTTGGAATTTTCGAAAGTGTACTTTTCTTCTGATTTGCGGATTGATCTGAAACATAGCCAGTTCAGTAATTCATTTTCTGTTCTTTTTCTCAGCAATAGTTTAGGCTTTTTTTAATTTTGAGAGAAAAAAATGATCTGCAGATGTTTCTGATAAGTCTGCAGATTTAATTAGATAGTCTGCAGCGCTTGAGGATTTCTGCTACCGAGTCAATAGATAACATAAGTTTTTCACTTTTTCAGGAGGTAATACTTTAAAAAGGATTACGAGAAGGTGTACCCTCCGATTAACAGATGCTGAATTAGTTGGAATGACAGATGAAGGGCGCATAATACCCAATGATGTGGAAGTAACCTTACCTCATGATTCTGAAGTTAGGTTACGCTGCGTTGAGCCCGGATTGTATAAGTTTGTTGGAAATGATACTATGATATGTGAAGATGGGACATGGACTTCAGATCTTCCTTATTGTGTAGCTACCACTTTACACAGAAATTTCTCAAGTAAGTCCCTTTTTTACATACAATGCAAGGAAATAAACTGATGATATCTAAATATGTTCTAAATTATATCCAAGTATATTCTAAATAACATTTTATAAAGTTCTTAATGATATATAAATGTACTTTAAATTTTATCTAAGTATTTTTTAATAATGTATAATGAATAAATCATAAATAATAAAATAAGTGATGTGTAATAAAATAAATGAGTTTTACACAATTTTTGAAAACGATGCCCAAATGTGTTTCAGATTACATCTAAATGTTCTTAAGAGATATGTAAATGTGATTAAATGATATCTAAAATTGTCATAAATGATATTAATGTATGATCTAACTTATATCTATTACCTAAATTTTAAAGTAAAATTTAGTTTATATAAAAAAGTAAAAATTTATTGAGATTTTCCCAGTCAGCATTGCTATTATTCAGTTTTTCTTGTATTTTAATAAATACGTCATTAAAAACAAATCTGACACCTAGCATAGCGCTTTTGTTTTCATATTTTACATTCGATCCATATTTTAAATATTTATTTTTTGTATTAAATAGTTTTGGTGACGTAATTGACGTGAAGTTATTGTCATAATTGTTTCAGTTAGTCAAAAAATCTATGTTTCAGAAACAAAGTTCATTAGCTTGTCAACCAGTTAAAAATTTATTAAGTCATTTTCCCCCCCAAATTTACTTATCAGCAGCTTAAAAATAAATGCTACCTTGATTATAAGATTGGAAGTTAAATTTAAAACAAAACTCAAAAAAAGGTAACATATATTTTAGAGCAACTGATACTGACAAATTACTGAAGGATTTGTTGGCCCAACAAACTTTGATCGGAAGTTGTCAATCCTAAGTATCATTGCTTTTTTTAGTCCTCCAGCTTAATTTTTGTTTATTTTAAAAGAAATTTACCGAATTTTTTTATTATTATAAAAGCAACTTGCATGATTTTCGCTCTTCAAAATAGTTTTCAAGGTTGGCTTTTTAGGTTGGCTGCGAAATTACTGTTTCGTCTGATAACTTTGAAAAACACTTCATTTTGGTACTTCGCACCGATCATGTTGTTTCCCGAAAACAACATTGCTCATTCATTGTAAATTTTCATTCTAAAATAATGGTAAAATACCCGGCAGCAGTCTGTCCATCCAGTTAACCATAAAGCTAACAGTAAAGAACATTTTCTATTTTTACTTTTTTTAAACCGTTTACAACTAGTGTAGATAAAACATCATAAATACAAAACTTTACGATTTTTTAACCATTTACAACTAGTATGGTTTCAAAACCGTAAAAAGAAATTTAACTGGACATTGGAGACAGTTTTGCTACTCTATAGTGCTGCCATCTGTGAGTGAATGAGAGTATCGTATTCTAATAGCACATGGTCACAAATTGGGGAGTCCAAGACTGAAAAGTCTTCATTTGTTGAAAGGAAACGGGGAAATATAATGCCAAGGCTGGAATTCAAACTCCCTTTCTGTAGGCCATTAAGATTGACAGATTAGCTCTCTCGAGTATATAATCTGTACCCATCTGCAAGGAACTAATGATTCATTAAATGGGCTTAGTTGGTGCCATAAAATTCTGGTTATTTAACCGTAATAGGTTAAAACAGTTAATAAATTATTTTTCTCACAGCTAAAAGTTTGAATATTAATTTATTTCTGGTTATTCGACTGTTTTATTTGAATATGTTAAAATACAATTAATAAGTTGTTATTTAGTCATTTTCTCGAGAAATTTCAAACTGTGTGTAATTGTGACTGTATGAAAAGTATCTTGGAGCATGCCCGACTGTCTCAGGAGGTATTTATAAGAGTGGAAAAGTAAATTACAGTCCTTGCAGACTCATGGACATTTGTTACTCTTATAATCATTTAATTATTGTTTAATGTTACTTGTTATTGTCTATTACTAAATATTTATTGTTACTTATATTGTGTAGCTAGAGAAGCTTCCCTTCTATAACTAGATCAGAAACACATGAAACAGTTCATAATGGGGAAGAGCCCCTCACGGCATAAGACGACATTTCCGAGCATTGGTTCCTGTGCTTTTTTAATACCGATAATGTGTCCTAACTTCTCTAGAAGCTTGTCACAACCTTTATGAGACTCATGTTGCATATAGCGTTTTTTAAACTTTCAACAATAAATCGAAAAAAAAATGCCAATTAAAGAAAATGTGTAGCTTTAGGAGCAAAACTAATTTCCGATATGAAATCACTCAAATCAGACAAGATCAAATATAAATGCATCAAAACATGTGCAGTGCTATGAATCTTAATTAGATTCGAATTGTTTTATTTTCATAGAAAGTTTGAAAATGTCTTCCTTCCTTATTTTTCAGTACAAGCACCTCCAACTATCCTCTATCACGTGGTATCCGGAGATGCAGGTTTAGCTGAAGATGGATCTGTGGTCGTATTTCCGGGAACTATATTAAACATTGATTGTATTTATCAAAGACAACTTGGTACTCCGCAATGGAACTGGAGTTCTACTCATAGGTATCACAAATGAATACACATTTTGATTCAGAAGCGTATCCTCTAATGTATTTATGTAACCCATAAACTATACTGTAAGAAATTTCGTATCAAATTATGGTAAAAAGTACGTAACATCGGAGCATGTTATGGATCAAAAACCTTGATATATCGCCATATGGTCAAATTAAAACTGGAAATGTGTATCAAATTCTAATAGAACTAAAATAGAACTCACATATAAAAATGATAAGTCAAACTTTAAAATAACTGGAATCCTACTCATAGGTACCACATATTGTTGCATATTTTGATTCATAAGAGCATCTTTTAATGTACTTATGTAACCCATAAACTATGTTGTAAAAAATTTCGTATCAAATTATGGCGAAAAATACGTAAGATCCATTTTTACCGGAACATGTTACGGCTTAAAAACCTGATATACCACCGTATGGTCACATGTTACGGAATTTGACAGTACTATTACACCCCTAGGTTTCTGTACCCAAATTATCCTATACCACACGATCAAATTACGGTAAAGTACGCAAAATCCATTTTTATCAGAATATATTTAGGAACGAAAGAAGTGTGAAATAACTGAATCACTCTATTTAAATAAATATTACAGTAAAAATTACGGTATAATGTTTTGCTGCAAAAATTAATTTTACGGATGATGTGCCGAAAGTGCGTTACTGTTTACAGTAATTTGATCCGGAATTTTTTATAGTGTATTTGCATCCAGGGTTACTTTTTGCATGAGTGAAACGTTGTAGAATTGTATTTGTCACCTTCTAATTTTAGAGATTACAATAATTCTTATCAATTTCTTCTTATTTCTTCTTAATAATTCTTATCAATTCTTTCAATTTTAAACACTTAAATTAATAGTGTTTAAATTGTTTTTATTCGAAATATTTTCTCATCATTTTCATAATTTCGAAATTTTAGGAAAAACAGCTGAGAATCATAAAAATTAAGTTTATTTTTTAGAAGCTAATTTTAAATAATGCCAACACTTTATAAAAAGTAGAGCATGTGAACTACTTAAAATTAATTATTGCATATCTATATAAACTTTTTTACTGTAGAATTGCATTGGGAGAGCATTAAATATGCATAAAGTAACATATCCTGCTGAATTTATTACATAAAATGGTCAGAACACTTTTATGGACCTGAAACGAGAACTAATAAATGTTACAATGCTTAAACACTAACAAAATTGCATTCCATTGAAAATGTTCGTTTTACACTTCGAGCACATTAAAAGTACATTTTCAAACAAGTTATCCGAAAATTCATTAAAAAAAAGTGCTTCGTGAGTGTTTGTAAAATTATTATGTTTTTTGTGAGGGTATTAAATATCAGTAATACGCAAATAGAATAAAGTCACGATTTATTTCTCTGTTTCAAAAATCGTAGAGAATTTGCAACTTTCATCTTGATTATCAAATAAAACACTAATGGAGACGTCACATCATTGCATATTGGTGATACTTTATCCATCCGACCCATAAACGGAAACTATTTTTCTTCCTTTTATCAAAAGACGCCTACCTGCACTAAGCACTAAACTGAGAAATATATGCTGCGGTGCATTTACAATTTGTGCGTCATTTTCGATTTAGATTAAAAACACGTCCTATTGCTGTTGTTGTTAATTTACGTCGCACTAGAGTTGCACAATGGGCTATTGGCGACGGTCTGGGAAACATCCCGGAGGATGATCCGATGACATGCCATCACAATTTTGATCCTCAGCGGAGGGGATGACACCCCCCGCTTCGGTAGCCCGACGACCAACACGTCCTATTAAAACTATTCTTAGTATTAAAATATATCAAGCAACCTCGAGGAGAAGGTTAAAAGGCCAACATGATGAACGTATCAAACCAACAACTCCTAGAAGAGAGGCCTCCGCCCGGTTTACCATAAGCGAGAAATCTGATCCTAAATAGTCTGAACTTGGTGACATCTTTTTTATTTTTCCCACTGCGCAGTTTATGTTCATCAAGTCGGACTAATAAATTCATCCGAGTGGATGTATTATATCTTCTAGGAGAGTTGGTTAAAGCGATAAGACATTACTTCTCCATCACCTCCATGCGACGTATGCTTATTGGTAGAATAAGTTTATTAGTTAACCAAATTAGTGAACCAATTACTGAAAGCAATAGAAGCACCCTAGAGTAATCTTTCAACATGAGCTCTTTGAAGACAATTATCTAAATTTGTTATAAATTATTACTTTTAATGAAATTTGATTTCAATGAAGTTTTCTAGTAGTGCTAAATGTGAAGTAGTGAAGTTTTCTACAAGTGCTAAAATTTCTCTTAATTAATTTTTTTTTCTTGCATAGATGTTCTTTTTAAAAAAATGAATGAATCAAGTTTTTAGAGTATGATTATTTAATAAAAACTTGTAATACAATGTATAAACTAAGTTTTCTTTACTAAATCAGCCCATATGAACCAAACCTTCAAAACAACTCTTCTTTCTCCTAATTTAAAGGAAAATAACCCCTAGCTGAAATTATTTTGTGCACCTCAAATTTTAGTTACACTCATGGATAATAAACATGCAAAAAATTTAAATATTTATTATTCTTTAAAGTGCCACTTGAAATTATATTAAATCAAAAATACTTTAAATTTATAATATGATAACTTTTTTAATGCAACCTTAAATTTTTTAATCCTGCTTAAAAGTTACCTAATGAAATAGATTTCACTTTTTTTTTTCATATGCTGTGTGAGCTATTCGTCGTTTATAAAATTTTTGATACTTTGGCTACAAACTTTTATTTAAAGAGTTCCTAATCACCAAACGTATCAATTTATAGACTTCAAAAGAAACTAACATTGATTGTTTTGAAATCACCTTTTTATTTATTTTTTAGGTAATTTTAGCTTCACTACTTCTTTTCAAATTCAATTCTTAATGTAAATTCCTTTTAGAGTACCATCTTTAAATCCACGTGAGCCATTAGCGAATCACTGCTAAGCTCTTTTTTAGTGTTTTCTAACAAAGCAGCGAAGTCATTTTATTCTCCTAAATCCAATTTTAGTGGCCGGACAAGTTAACGAAATCAGCAATTACGCCTTAAGCTTTTTCTAAGTTTGAAGAACATCGCTCCATTCAATCTGCGAGTAAATTTCTTACAAACATTGGTATTACAGACGATTTTCTGAAAAGGAGATTTTTATTTTGACAGCTTTTCTACTGAATTTTTTCCCCCTTAAGTAAATACTCTTTCTCTTTAGGGTTTTATTTATTTTTTAACATGTTGATCGTTGCAAGCTTTTGTGAAGGAAGTGTATTCATGAATTTATAAGCAAAAAAAAAACCTTTAGTTTGAATTTTTAAAGGAATTTACATTTAAAGCAAACGTAATTTAAAGTGTCACTATCGCAACTTAACCATTTGACATTTTCTTTTGATTTATCGCTTCTTTTTTTTTTTACAGAAACAGGGTTATTGCGTTAGCAAAAACTGAAACTTTTTTGTCTTAAATTTAAAAAACCTTTTAAAATTGTATTTATTTTTTCAACATTTGGTACTGATTTAAACAGTCTAATAAAGCGTTTTCTAACATAAGTTTTTACACTTATGTTAGTTCGGGGCTCCGGGGGGAGAAAATAATGACTTCACACTAAACATTTTTTACTAAGCATTTTTAATAACTCATTGTAATGGAAACCATTGATATGCATGACTTTAGTATAATGAACTAATAAAGAAAGAACGTTACAAAAAATGAAGCAAATTAATGAATCAGCGCGTTTAGTCTAATTATAGCACAAAAAATGGGTATTTTTTTGGGAAAAATTAATATTGAAGTTATTTTTTAAAAAAAAATTTTTTTTATACCATTCTAAATGATATCTGAAAACTTCCCAACTCTCTTACGTACGTTTTCCTTTTTTAAGACGCAAAATTTAATTTTTTCTAAAGAGGCAAATGAGGTATTATTTCCGATGTATTTTAATCTTTTAATCTTTCTTTATTACTTTTCTTTTTACTCTGAAATGAATGAGACAAATCCGGAGATGATCGAACTAATAGTTTAGAAGATAAAAGGGTTCTTAGACAAACAGTAGAAGTTTATAATTGTACTTATACACACATCTGATATTGCTTTCTGAACAGTTAGCTTACTATTTCTTTTGTCTTTTTACCTTGAATCGAATGCTATACGCGAATAAATCGGTAAGAGTTTCAAGCGTTTTCATGCATGAAAAGCACTATTTTCGACATGACTTAGTACGCGTCTTTCCTTTGGCTTTCTTTTTATTTTTTATTTATTTATTTTTTTTGTTGCGTAGTACACTATTTTTGGAAAGGGCTATCTGATCATGAGAGATGTGAAGCAAATTTTTAATGAAATTTTTTATACTAAATTGAATGATATAAAGTTAAAGTTGATAGAATAAATATTTCTTTAGTCCTGAAGTTATAAATGTTTTCTTAATAATAACTGCAATTCAAAAATAGTACAACTTATACAAAAAAAATCATTTCAACTTTTCAAATGTTAAGCCTTTAGAGTCGTGTTTGATCTCATTCGATTAAATGAGATAAAATGCATTGGGAACAATACTTCAATTTGTCTTAATAGTAATGTAAGATGTACAAACAAGTGCAAGTATAAAATTGTACTTTTTGAATATAAAACGCTTATTACTTCCTAACTATGAGTCTGGTTGACTCAGGATCAGTCTCAATTCACTCAGTATAAAGAAGTACTACGGAAAATATGCGTTATATGTCCATATAGTCCTTGGGCAGCAATTGAAAATATTTACATAAGTACGTGTAAAAAGAAGTACTTTTTATACCTAGGATATTTTACAACTTTTGAATTATTAGTTCTATTGAATTGTGTTTACAGTGCTTGAGAAAAATATAAGGATAACATTAAATTGAATGAGAATATGCTTTATTTTCATTCCATCTAAATGAAACTTATATATGTTTGACTTCGGATACATAATTTTGTAATAACACTTATA